AAGGCAAGAGCTAGCTTGAAGAATATTAAAGAGGCTTTTCTGGGGCCACAATACTTAATAAAATGAGTTGAGTAAAGCTAGCGTTTGACCTAATTTGAAGGATGCCAAACACATTTCCCGAGGCAACGTCTAGCTGCCCTCAGACCAATGGTACTTGCGGCGTATCTCGGCTTTGAAAGCTTCTTGCTGGCCAGATATCGTCCTTCACTTCACTTACAGTATTTTTTAAAGGTGATAAAAAGATATGTTGTAATATGTAGTAGCAGAGGACTTGTTTTCTTAAGTCGCAGTGATAGGAAGACCTTTTTTATTAGCCCGGTGCCTGGATTCACAGTAGAGCAGGAGATAAAAATGTGTGTGATACGGACAAATACAGCTGTTAGCTTGTAGATAAGGAAAGATGCTTTTGATAAAGGTCTAATAGATAAACAATCCATAAATCCACAGATTACAGCGTCCTGCACTTTTTTCTCCAATGCGCCACATTAAAACGTTTTGCTCAGTGGAGATTCATGTTCAGTTCATATTGAAAGTCACGAAGGCAGCAGCGCCAGCGTCTAAATCAATTCAAAGTTTAGTAAACTTTGTTCTTTTATTTTGCATCGTTTGTGTAATCTGCAGTAGAGGCAGATAAGAACAGTCGCCTCTCCAAAGGTACTTTTCATTTGCGTTGCTTAGAACCGGACATTTATTGTTAGCTAGAGGTACACATTGTTTCTTTCCTTTTTCTTCCCCCCCCCCCCCTTTCATGCCAAACGATTAACCATTTATATCTGTCTACTCTGTTTAATTAGAGCAGGTATCTGTGGGCAGTATTTCAGGCACTAGTCCACAGACTTGCCAATAGGTCAGCTTGGATTTTCAACAAGCTTCCATTTTCGGAAACAACAGCAGAGCGTTGTGGAACAATAATAAATGACTTTTGGATTAAAGTGTTAAATGTATTGTGCTTGCGACTTTTAAGACCACAACTCCAAAGCCACTATTCTTTCCTTGTTTATCTTTGAAAACATTTAGCACCCATTGTCAGAGAGACCCCCCCTGGATCCTGTGACGTGGCCAAGATGGCAGTAACTTCTAATACCAGTAGTTGCTGAAGTGCAAGCATGCTTGAAGGACTCGTGACCTTTATGCTGCGCCCTAACTGGTTCTAGCAGGAAATCACCGAGAACCAATATACTCCGTCTCCAGAGAAACTACACTTACAGTGTGGCTGAGACGCTAACACTTTCCCGGCTGTCATCCTGTGAACTGTCCCTCATCTTCATCCAACACCTGACAACACATCCGCACTCGGTGACCTTCAGATGCCTCACGCACCAACAGATTCTTCCCTTTGGGCAACTTAGATGCCACATTTTCTCACGTAGTTGCCATTTTATGCAGCAAAGAGAGACAAAGAGGTACTGCCCCCCCCATCCCCTCTTCCACTCTTTAATCAGAACAGTGTGTGCTGATGCTTTAAAAAAAAAAAAATGTCAGCCTACCTGCCATGCCGCTGCGTCAGCTCTCACCACTCTCCTCCTTCCTTTCTCTTTACTCTGTCTTGAAATGTACAGTTTCTTAGCCTCCTTAGCTGCAATAGAGCGGAGGAGATGCATCATCCCTGTGCTAACGTTCACTCAGGACTCCCGCTAGGAAATTGATTGTGTGTTGGAGGAGGCTGTTACAAGGTGCAACCAGGTTTAATCTCATTGCACAGCTGCTAAATAAACTCAGAAAGAGGACAATTCAAGTGGAGGAAAGACTCCAAGTTCACCATGAAGTGTCAAAAAAAGTTAAAGAGACGACTGTTTTTGTATTTTAGTGGCTGGTTCTCTGTAACTTTGTTTATTTATTTTTTTTTAGCCATTAACATGATTTCCTGGGAAATGAAACCCTGACTTCCCGTGCAACACTGTGCGCGTTGGTTTCCTTTTGAATAATGTGGTAGATTAGCAGCCATAAGCAATCACAATTAAGCAAATGTGGAGCACCAAATTAACACTAATTAGAATAGACTCTAAATTCATCAAGCCACTTAGCCAACAACATCAATGTAAACAAAGTCATTAGCATACTTGTGCAGAGGACATGTTAAAGTTGATTCACATCATTTGCACCTTGCAAAGTCTTGATTAACGCAATCAACCTACAGGAGCCGAGCGCCCCAAGGTCACAGTCATGCATCTTTTGTCACAAGATTCATTAACGGGGCGATAAGCCGTTTATGAATGGGAAATGAAGAACGAAAAGAATCCTTAATCAGTGGATGATTAAGAAATGCTGGAAACGGCATAATGGGATGCTTTGGCCTGTGCTGTTGATGACCTGTAATGATCTCTGAACCGCTGCTTGCTTTGTGTCGGCATAATCGTCAGAGACCGTCTCCGAGACTGGTTTTAAACAAGTCAATAACTGTATGCAATTTGTGGTAATTAGTCAAAATTGTATTGGTACTAAAACACAAGTGATTACACACAGACTCCTGTTGATTGTCAGTGGAGCCACTCCAGAAGTACTCAGAGAAATGGCACTTCAGGTTCTAAACTCAGTTTATGAATGCAGTTATGGTGAAGAAAATATCTCTCAGGTCTTCATAGAAAACACATTGTTATTTTATATCAGGAGGCCCCTGAGTCTTTAACAGGCCTACATTACAACAATATTATTCGATTTGGTAACACTTTATAATAACTATCCGTTATAACTAGTTAATAGATCATTTGTAAACTGTTAATTAGTTAATTAACCACTTGTTAAGTGTTTGTTAATAGTTTGTTGATGATTTATAACGATGCCTTATAGATAGTTAATAAATTTACAAACTGTTAGTTAATGAGTTATAAATGACTGTTAACTGTATATGAATGATTTACAGCCATACCTTATAAACCAGTCATAGATCATGAACAAGCCGTTAGTGAATTACTTACTAATGACTTGTTAAGTATCAGTTAATAGTTTATACATGTTACTGTGACGTTATTCTAAAGTTGCAACTATTCCTCATTTATTAACTGCTGGTAAATGAGGAATAGTTGCAACTTTAGAATAACGTCACTTTTAAAAAGTTGCTTAGAAGCCAACCTGAAGCTCACTGCTTCCATAGATTATTATTTCACCCTCTGAACCCCAAGCAGTTGCTGGTTTTTGCTGCTTCTGTCACATTTTCACTCACTGTTACCTCATTTTTTAGTGCAATATAAAACCTTGCCCAAGAAAGAGAGACAAATCTAAATATTTATACTGGCGTCAATCATAAGTAAAAGTAGAAAACAAAAGTGACATTAATTTGAAATCAACATGACAACAAGTGTCCAAAGATGTTACCAATACTAGAAAATAATAGTGACTCTACATACTGATGATGTTTTGCTGCTGACGTTTTTAATTTGTGTTCATCCTGTGCTCTATGTAAACATGTATGTAACTCAGCTGAATAATCACAAGATTGTTGGTTGCATCTGAGTCTCTAATGATTTCTCTGTTGCACCAAGGAGCACAGATTTTTGGATTTTTACAGAATCCGGTTTCAAAGGGTTTATTTTTGGTGAATTTTTACAATTTTGTGCTTAAATTCATTTCATTTAATTTGCATGTCACGCATGATTAGTTCAGTGACTGGCAAAAAGTTTGAAAACCAACACTTGTTTTTGTTTTTGACTCGAATAAATGGTGCAATTAATCTTTCAACCCAACCGTCAGTGTTTAGGGTTAAAAAAAGAGCATAGCACAAAAGTTAAAAATTGTAGTGCCTCATGAATAGTTGACAGTTGTGTACCGGAGTGCAGTGAGGTGTTTCTGACTTTTGTCTTCGCTGTTAATCTTTAAGTTATAACACATTTATATTTAAATCAGCTTCGAGGTGTGTTCAGGGAGATTGTGTGCACATACTTTCTGCTTTCTTATGTTTCTAGTCCACAAGCTGCCGATGTACAGAATACACAGACCTTCGGCGTATTCCCCACACCCCATCTTGTCTTTTTTTTTTTTTTTCATCATCTTGTCTTTACACATCTTAAAGTAGATTTACAGAGCCCACACATTTTTCTGGCGTGGAAACATTCTCCACTTGCAGAGATGCGTGTTAGCCTTTATTCACTCCACTAGCTAGAGTACATTTCCATCTGCTTCCATCTCGGTCTTTACATTTACACTGAATGCAGCGCACTACATCTAGAATTTGTTCTGCATTCAGTCTGAGCGCATACATCTTGAGAAACCGACGTGTGAATAGTAACTCGGTTCCCTTTCTTGCAGGACAGATTGAGTGTCGTGGTTGTGTTATGTCAGGTGTGAATGTACGTACAGTCGTCCTCAAACGTATTCAAACCCTTCCATTAAAGAAAAGGCAAAATTCACAAAAGTCACTCAAATAACTGGAAACTGAAAAAAGCAATAATAAATAAAAATTTGCTAAATTATAATTTAGTGAAATACGACCTTGCTTTTGAATTGTGGCTGAAAAGAATCATTTAAAAAAAATAAAAAGTAGACAAATGAGAGCACTTTGCTGATGAGTAGTGGGCCAAATTCAAAATAGCTGTCAACAGGTGCAGAAGTCTGATTGAGAGTTACAGAAAACACTTGATTGAAGTGATTGTATCATGATTGTTTGCTTGGTTTTTAAAAAAAAATATTTCTGTTGAACCACAATTCAAAAGCAATGTCGTGATTTTTAAGAATTTTTTTATTTTTCATTACTTTTGTCAATTTCTACTTATTTCTGTGACAGCTGTTTTTGTCCTTCTTAAATGGGAGCGTATGAATACATTTGAGGACAACTGTAGCTATTTACTGACTAGGTACTAGGAAAGAACGCATTGCTTCCAGCAGTATGTGCCTATTTTGTATGTATTACTTAGTGTCATTAAAGTATTGCATATGATTCATTCCTGCCACGTTCACTTCTGTTAAGTTTACCCACTTATGTGGCTAATTGTACCTCTGCCACATCGTATTGAATCATACCATCGATTAAGACTGCTGTATTGAGTGGGCTGTTTGTATCATTTCAGATAAATCATGGATGCACACCCCAGACGCTCTGGCCAAGCACTACATAGCCTACAACGCCAAGGTAGGTGTCACCGTCGGTTGTAATGAGCTTTGTAAGAGCAGTGTGACTGTAAAAACCATAAGCAGCAAAAAAAAAAGAAACAGTAAGAGGCTTTTGTACTCAAAGGAACTGAGTTAAAAACAAAATCCCTCCTTTTGTGTGAGTGTGTTTGCTCCCTCTCGTCAGGCCTGTCGGACCTCTCAGTCCGAGAGTTCCATTTGTCCTGACACAAGCAGGCCTTTCATTGAGGGCAGCACCTCGCGCTCAGCGGTACTGTCCGGCAAATGAGCCCGGCTGTCTCTGGATGAATTGTTTCAGGTTGAAGCCACAAAACAATTTCTCGCTCGACGTCTGATGGGAACACCTGATCAGCACAACTTGCACAAAGTTTTTAAAGTTTCCTCAGTTCAGTTGTGTATAATTGGTGTTGGTAATTTGGATTTTTAATGGTGGCAGATTTAAAGTTTTTTTTTTCCCCACCTTAAGTATGAAGTGTCAAAGATGTGATAGCTCCTTATTTATCTCCCAGAGCAGCAGCTTTCCTTTGGTGTTTGCATGAGGGGGAAAGTCCTACTTGTCAAAATTTAAATCAATAGAGTCTCCATGTTTTTTTAGCCTTCTTGATTTGTTTATTTTTAATGAGCGTGTAAGCGGGGGGTTGTTTATGGAAAGTGACTCATGCTTCTGTCAAAACCAGCGAAAACTCCTGGTCCTGATGCAAGAAAAACCCTGAAATTACGCGGCTTTCTCAATCTCGACTGGAATCGCGGTCTGTTACAAAACACTTTTTTTCTACCAAATATCCAACAAACACCTCTTGAAGGAGCGCCGTCTCTCTGGGGGAACATTTCCCTGTCAGACTGGGGTTTTTTTTTTTTTCCCCCTGCTTCATTCCGATAAAGAGTTTCTCCCCTATGAGGCACACAATCTGTCATCCTACATCCTGTGCTTCAGAAATGCTAGTACGGAGGTGGATTTCCAAAAACTCCCCCCTCCTCCTAAACCGCTGAAGCTCCCTTCCGGTATGCAGCAAAAGAAGTAAGGGGAACTGGCAGAGGACGCATCTCTACAATCAAAGCAGATTGTCAGTTCACATACTTTGCATATTGTCAGCTTTCACTGACAAGTTCCCCGTCTGGTTCAATATGCTGAGATCTGAGTAAGCCATTCATCACTGAAGGAGTTGGAGTAAATGGGACAGCCAAAGTGCTGAGAATGTGCTTGACCTGCTCTCCTTGGTTTGAAGCACTCGCGGTTGTTGGAAAAATAAGCTCAGTTAGCAGTTCACTGTACAATCCTCCTGCTTAAAACAGAGAAAAATCTTGTCTTTTTTTTTGCCTCAAGAGAGGGAATCTGTTTTGTTTCATCCTTCTGAGTCGGAAAGGTCATAAAGTTTTCTGTATCTTCAGTCATTTTTATTTGACGGCGCTACGAAGCTACCAGCATCAGTTTCCTGTTTAAATGTGAAGGCTTTTCTTTCAGGCTTTCTTTAACTAAATCTGAGATAAAAATGAGAATTGTCTTTATTTCTTATAGTTAAAAACATACGCTTTTCAGCCACAATTTGATTCGAATAAAGTCCATTTAGTCCCTTATGTCTGGAAATAAATTGCTAGGATTATTGATATATCTGCTGATTATTTTCCTATTTAGCAGATTCATTGTGTAGTTAATGTAATGAAAAAGACTCATTATGTTTTTCTCACAGCCCAAGATGACATTGTGAGATAGTTTTGTCAGACTAAGAGGACAAAAACCACAAAGCGTTGGGTCTATAATAATTGAAAACTTACAAAAACTGTAAATTTTCACAGTCTGTGATTAAACATGACAGAGAAGATGAATTGATTTTCAAAGCTGTTAATTGCAGTTTGTTGTTTTTGGTTCACTTCAGTTCACTTCTATTTAATTCCACTCTGTTTGCATTTCTATAGCGCCAAATCCCAACATATGTCATCCCAAGGTGCTTCACATAGTTATACAGAGAAGGCCAACAAAGTTTCCTTTGGGTTTCCTTTCAGTAAGCACTCAGCAACAGTGGGATGACAAAAACTCTCCTTTACCAGGCGGGCTCAGGGAGGACGGTCGTGACTGGTTGGGGTTGAAGGTAAAGGAGGGAGAGAAGAGGATAGCAGAGAGAAAGATTCAAGAGTTTTTATTTGTCACCTGCTCGTAGTGAAATGCAAAGCGACTGTTCTCAAGGCTGTGCAATAAAAACACACGTTATAAAACAAATCTTTACAAAATAAGAGAAAATCAGAAAAAGAAAGTCACAATGTTGGAAATAATGAGGCAGAGATCTTAAACTAAAGTGCTTTATACATTGTGCAAGAGTGCAGTTGTGTGTGTGATTGTTTGTTGTGCAACAGAGCGTGGGAACATTTATGTGCATAGATCTGTATGTTATTTACATATT